AAGTCAGAACTGGCGGTCAGTTTCAGCAGTGGCTGAATCTGGACGCCAGTTCCGACTTGCATACAGATTCAACTTAAGAACAAACCTACAGTCCCTATCTTGTACGTAACCCGGGGACTGCCTGTATTTGGCTAGAAAAATCTTTCTACATAAGCCAAAAAGAACACACCTTGGTTTTCAGAGCACAGGACTTGGAGGAGAAGTCAGAACTGGCGGTCAGTTTCAGCAGTGGCTGAATCTGGACGCCAGTTCCGACTTGCATACAGATTCAACTTAAGAACAAACCTACAGTCCCTATCTTGTACGTAACCCGGGGACTGCCTGTATTTGGCTAGAAAAATCTTTCTACATAAGCCAAAAAGAACACACCTTGGTTTTCAGAGCACAGGACTTGGAGGAGGGGAAAAATATCCCCTCTCCCTATAGAACACCAAAATTTTCCTGAGGGACATCAGAATGATGTCATACGTCATCTCATCCACAGGCTGCACCCTTGCATGGGGCCCCTTCCCTGGACACAGTTGAGGGACCAGCTAAGCCACTTGGTAGCCCAACTTAGGCAGATTCTATCTCCTAAGGGTCCTGCCTGTTCAGGTAGTGCGAGCCCTGGAACCCGGCCTACTTGCACTGGGAACACAGGCAGGCTCCCATGTCCCAGGGTGCCATGACTTGCTCCAGAGCCACTTGCTTGCGCCATGGTTGTTCTGGGCGCTCACGGGCTGCTGGTCCACCAGGCTCAAGAGAAGCACCAGATCCCCGGCTGCCCCATCCTCTGCCATGCCCCAAGTGGCCGCATCCTGAGCTCAGCACTGAGCCGCCCCAGTGAGACTCAAGCCCATCCCATGTCCCAAACCCAGACTGACTCCCTCCTGCCCAGGCCCATGTGGGACTGCAGCAGCAAATAGGGTTGCCATGTGTCCGGTTTTCACCCTGACAGTCTGGTATTTGCAGGCTCCGTCTGGTTAAAAAAAGCAAACAGGAAATACCGGACACATGCAATGTCCAGTATTTCTTGTTTCCCTGGGATGGAAACCCAGTGGGGACAATTTTCCCCTGCTGCATCTGGCAGAGGCGGGAAGTGAGGAGTGCAGCAAAGACCAGTTGCTGGGCACCACACTAGGGGGGTGCCAGGCTGGGGTGGGAGCAGCGCACATGCTGCTCTGGCCCATGTGACCAGCAGAGACCGGGAGCTGGCCACATGATGCCTCCCTCTCTCTACAATGCGAGCCGAGGCAGCCGGGCCAGGTACCAGGAGCAGCCACTTTAAAAGTCAGATTGTTCCTCCGTGCCTGGTTCTGCGGGTGGGAGAGGGGGAGATTTGATTGGAGCAGGGGGCTCCCAACGCTGGGGATGCCTGCCTCAGAGGGAGGAGGGAGTGCACTGGGATGGGGAGATGTTAGGTGGGCCTGGGTCTGAGGCAATTGTGAGTGCATTGGGATGGGGGGCATTAGGAGGCCTGGGTCTGAGGCAGAGGTGAGTGCATTGGGATGGGTAGACTGGGGGGCCTTGCTCAGGAGGAGGTGTGGGTACATTGGTGGTTAGTATGTGGTCCCAAAATGGAGGGAGCGGTGCAACTTTTGCTTAACAACTTTGGTCTCCCCCCCACACCCTTTTTTCCCCCTCGACAGAATTTTTTCCGGGTGTTTTCTTTTGGGGGGGGTCGGTATTTTTTGTTAAACCATCTGGCAGCCCTCCCATCCACCCCCTCCTAGCGCTGGCCAATGGGGTAGGCGCTGGGGGACCCCCATCTCCCAGGGAGCCCTTTGCCCTGGAGGGTGGGGACAGGCCCTGCAGGAGTCTTTGGCCCCTCACTCCCCCAGCCCCTGAGGCCATGTCCCAGAGCCCTTTGCCTCAGGCCTGGGGGACCTTCCAGCCCCGCAGGGACCGGCCAATGGGAGCCGGGCAACTCAAGTGAACTACATTTCCCAGCGTGCCATGCAGGCGCAGGGCCACTTTATCGGCCTAGCAGCAAACGGTGCTTCTGCAAGGCAGATAAGGAGGCGCCCGGCAGCACTGACCTGAGCAGCCTGGGCCCCCTTTGCCTGGCGCTGCAGCCTTGCCCTCCCCAACATGACTGTAGCTCCAATGCTGTTTTCCCACTATGGAGTTGGGATGGGTGGAGAGAAAGCCCCAAGCCTTGCTGCACAGGAAAGAAGTGCTTCCCCTCCCGGGCTGGGGAAACAGCAGCACACCAGCTGAAGGCTTTCCCTGTGCTCCCATTGGCCAGATTCCAGCTAATGGGAGCAGCGGGAGGCCAAACCTGGGGCCAGCATGAGACCCAAAGACAAGTAAGTGCCCTCCACCCTCTCATGCCCAGCCCCTGCACTCCCAGCCACCTCACTCACCCTCCACTCAGATCCCGCATCCCCAGCCTGCTCCTGCTCCCTCCCCCTGGCCAGACACCTACCTCCACCCTGCTCCTGCCCCACACCATTATCCCCCTCATTCACCCACCACTGAGATCCCACAACCCAACTCCATCACTCACTCTCCTGCCAAGACCCTATCCCTCCCGCTCCCACAGCCCACTGCTGTTCCCTCCCCCCAGGCCAGACACCCTACCCCCAGTTCGCTCCTTCCCCCTTCCCAGACACCCTGTCCCCAGCTTTTTCCTGCTCCTTCCCACAGCCAGACACCCGGCCCCCAGCCTGTTCCTCCACCCTACCTCCCACCCAGACCTTGCACCCTCAGCCCCTCAAGCACCCCACCTCCTGCCCAGATCCTGCACCCCCATCCCTATTCCACTCACTGGCAGTTTCGTCCCACACACTGAACCCTTCATTTTCGGCCCCACCCCAGAGCTTAGGGGGCTGACAAAATACACTAACCCTGAAACCCCAGAAGAGTTAATCTGGCCTGAGACCTTGAACCTTAGTCCTCCCCTCACCATGGAAATGGAGCAGCAGGGGAGTGAGATGTTTCACTTGTGGGTAGTATCAGTGAGGTTTGAGAGTTTTGGGAGGGGCTTTTTTCCCCTTCTCACTTGTGTGGTCCCCAACTGATTTTTCTGGGGGTTAGTGGTCCCTCACTCAAAAAAGGTTCCCTGCCCCTGCCATTAAGACAATTTTGAAATATTTTTGTACTGGACATAATATTTTACTTTATTTAAAATGGAGCCTGGCCAACAAAACCCAGCCCCCATCTGGCCACAGCGTCCTGTCCCTAGCCCTGATCTTGGGGCAGGCCCCGCAGTCCATCCCCAATTTGGCTGCAAACGGAGGTGGTGGTGGCCCTTTCCTATTCCGCTGCAGCATGGGTAGGAGGAGAGACCACGATTTGGTTGTGGCTGACAGAGGGTTTTTTTGGCAAGCATAGAGAGCAGAGGGTGCAGCCCCCTCGTAATAGGTAAACAGAGGAAATCTGATCTCGAACCAATGAGATGCAACTGAAAGGAACTCAATAAAGACATTTTATAAGGTAATTTTTCAGAGTAGAACTGCATGTTAGGGATAAGAGATAGTCAAGCTAATGTGATCACTATTATAACATTAGAATAGAAGCAGAATGATGAGTCTGATGTTCCTCGTTATAACTTGTGGGCTCAGACAAGCAACACAATGATATGAGATTGAAAATATGTATTTTCTACCTATGCAGCTTTTATTAAGAATCAGGGGAGCTGTAAGTCTAACAAAATTCATTAGCGCTTTATGGTCATGAACCGGAGGGTGCTACAGTATAGCACAAATTCATATGCACTTACTTTGTTAGGACAATAGAGACTGCATCATTGAGAATACTTTCTCCAAAAACCAACATGTTAAGCACAGGATCCACGTTAAGGGCATTGAAGATGGCAATTGTAGCCACTGGGTCCACAGCAGATATTAAGGAGCCAAAGGCAAAACTATGAGAATACATAAAATTCAAAAAAAGAAAACATGCCAGTATAAACATCAAATAAATTTGACAATACTGACCAATGAAAAAGCATGGAACATACCAGTGGCTTTTCTAGGAAAACTACTAGGTATATTTTGTAGTTGTATCTTCCCATTAAAGCACTTGACTAGCAATATTTAAAATAGAAAGTAAGAGAATTTTTGTATTTTTGGAAAAAAGGATCAGCTGTTAAATACAGCCAAACCTGCTAACAGACCATACACTCATGAGAATCTTGTGTACTCTGACCTGTGATAACTCAGGCTAACTTATGGATGTCCAAGTCACAAAGAAGTAGGAGCAATATGCCTCCCCAAACTTTCCAAAATAAGTCAATATGTTCCACTAAAAGCTACAAAGGGAACTTGTATACCTTTCTGGAAACAGGTGTTAAATAGATCTCAATCCAAACCACTAAATCAGCTATGTATGATGATATAGAGTGAAAAGACTGTATAGAATTCCATTAAAAATATAAAACCCACCCTAGACAGTTACTTAAAAAATAATTATATCTACTCTCATGCCATTAAAGTTACTGAAATTGAAAGAGGCTTTATCGCAGAGGTGATGCCTACTCCTAGTCTTCTTTCACAGTTAGAATATTTTATATTTCAGACTTCACATACACTTTCGGACTCTCTGTCTCTCTCTCTCTTTTTTTTTTTTTTTTTAAATACTGGAGGTTTCCTTACATCATCAGTATTTTGGGTTTTATATGAAAACCGTGATCTACAAACTGTCTCTGAAATACATATTCAAAGACTAGGCGACTAATAGAAAATACTGAATCAGACCAAAACAAGGAGGTTGTTTAGCCATGCTATCAGTTGCAGCATATAGTACTTCAACTATGTAGCCCAAACAGACATTTAAAAACAGATGCTAAAGCTTCTTTAGATCTTAAAACTAAAAGGTTGAGACCACAAAATCAGGAGCTCTCAGCTCTGCAAAGACAGATGTTAGAGTCAGGTAAGGAAGACATCTGCTGTTCATGCATACTTTTTCTTGTCACATTTCTTGATTCTGACTAAGCCAACAGATTTATGGACTTTAATACAAACCTCTGTTTGTGTTCACGGTAAAAGACAAACAAACAAAAAACCAAAAAAGTAAATCTAAGTTGTCCACCCAGTAACACTGGATTTATAATGCAACCAAAAGCAGAAATCTCAATTCTTGTGTAGTTACGGGGGTTTCTAGAAAACTAAGTCGTGCCTTTGCTAGTCAAGTGCTCTGAAAAGTCTGTGGCATTGATTCTCACAAGTTCACTCCTTGTTTAAGGAGAAGTTCTGGGTAAGGAGGCCATACATGCATAATATGTTTTAATTATGTCAGGTAATCAAATGTTGATCACAATTAATTCATTTTGAAGTCTGGAAGAAAATAATTTGCAAGAAAAAAAAAGTGAAAATATTTTTGTGCCAAGCTGTTCATTATTGTGTTGCCACTGCTCCAGTCATTTTGATCAGAGAATGCTATGGATTAGTAGTCTTAATATACTTCATTATGAAAAAGGCATTACAAGAATTAAAAATATTCATTCTAATTAATAATTTTACAAATGACATTAAAACTAAGCATTCCAGAACACAATCAAAACACCTGGGCAAGTACTGTTTGTCACATCTATCGCAGAATTATGGAGAATGCCTCTTGCAAGAAATTGGCAATTTTACCAAGAACTCACCTGTCTGTCATGTTCAGTTTATAAATTACCTCAGCCTAAAAGGATAGGCCAAGAAAGAAAAGTTACAATCAGCTGTGCCAAGATTTAATTTTATAATTTTTACTAGACAAACATTTAGTATAGGTTCATAAGAAGTTTTTACTTCAAACTGCACTTTAATCCTGATGTGCAGGTGTGCATCATACAACAAAATTATGATAAAAATGGTCATAATTTAATAATTAATACCCAAGAAGAGCTTAACAGACTGTAAATTATGACTAGTACTCACAGGACACCAGTGAGGTAGGGAACTATTGTTAGCCCTACTATATAAAATGAGGACATAAGAGATAGGAGAAAGATTAAATGAATTTGCCTAAGCTACACAGTGAGTCAGTGTCAGAGCTGAGACCAGAACTCATACATGTGCCTGACTTCCAGACTAAGGATGTTAAATTGCAGTTAATTTACTAGTTGAGTAGTCGCTGGAATTTCCATCGACTACTTGACTAGTGGATAGGCACTTCCACATTTCTTCCCCGCTGGGGCTCTTGTACATTCCAAAGGAGGAATGAGGAACACTGTGTGCAGCCCGGGGCCAGCGGGGACTCTTGTGCATTTCAAAGCAGAAGCGCACACATAGAGCTGGGGTCAGCAGGGGACTCAGAGTCCCCCGCTGACCCAGGCTCCATGTTGCACTGCCGATTTGAAATGCCATGGGTAGCCCGGGGACAGCTGGGGACTCCTAAGTTGATCCTGGGCTCCGTGCGGCATTTCAGCGGAACCCAGGATCAGCTGGGGACTCCCCACATGACCTCAGGTTCCATGTGGCACTTCCCCAGAACCCAGGGTCAGCTGGAGACTTCCCAGCTGATCCTGGGTTCCATGGAAATGCTGTGCAGAGCCCAGGATCACCTGGGGACTCCCAGCTGACCCCAGGCTCCAGGCAGCGCTACTGCTTTGAAACGCTGCCTTGGTGTTTCAAAGGGGCAGCGCAGGCACAGCTGAGCCGGCCTCAGTTGTGTGGTGCTGCCCTTTGAACGCCGCCTTTGCAGCGGGATTGACTAGCTGACTGACTATCTGATAAGCTTTTGCTTATCGGATAGTCGACTAGTCCTTAACATCTCTGACAGCTAAATGCCATTCCATGGGGGGAAATCCCTTTGTCCAGCAGGCACTCAATTAGTCAGTTGACTAGTCAATCTGATAAACATTTGCTTATCGGATAGTCGACTAGTCTTTAACATTCCAGACCTTATTCCAGACCTACAATCACTTCTTTAGTTTAGCCTGTGCTACATTTCTCAAAAAAGCAAGTAAGTCTGATTCTTGTTTAATGCATTTTTTACCTGGATCCACCTTTTTGCACACCTCAGTTGCCTAATTTCATGAGCTAACTAGGAAATTACATAATCTGATAGACCTTCCCTGCTTTTTCTAATGTAATATGTGGGATGCATGGAAATACAAAGCTAATCTCAGTTCCTATTTTATATAATCTTTTCAATTGACTATTGACCATTCTTTGAAAGAATGGCCTTTTGAAGGACCATTCTATTGTACGCAGGAGTTTCAGATATTTCTCTTACCTGACCCAGAAAATAAATTCCTCCACCTACAATGAAAGCTGAAATTGCTGTGCCGAATACAGAAAAGAGAGTGATGGAACCTATGTTCTGAAAGAAGTTACCCTGAAAAACACAAAAGCAAGACACGGTGAGGTAGTGAAAAAGAAAAGGAAGTTACTCACATTGTGCAGTAATGACGGTTCTTCGAGATGTGTGTCCCTGGAGGTGCTCCACTGATCTTGCTAGGCTTGTCCTGGCACTGCAGATCGGAGACACTTTCAAGTAGTATCTGGTCAGGCTGCACATGTGCGGCATGGGCATGTGCCATTCACGCCTTTGGAGTTTGTGCGCACGTCCCAACTTCCCTCAGTTTCTTCATGCAAACCTTATTGTGTGGAATAGATCCGAAGAAGAGGGGAGGAAGGGTGGATAGTGGAGCACCCACAGGTACACACACCCTGAAGAACCAGCATTACTGCATAAGGTGAGTAATTTCCTTTTCTTCAAGAGAGATGTTACTTTGGGTGCTCCACTGTTGGTGACCATACAGTGGTACCCACAAAGTGGAAGGTGGGTTTCAAATTAGGTGTTATGCGCAGATGAAACAACTGCTCGAGATACTGTAGAGCTTGAGTCTACTTGAAGTCTCATGAAGGTTTGGGTGGATAACCACATAGCTGCTGTGCATATGTCCTCGAGAGAGACTCTCTTCAAAAAGGCTACCGAGGTAGCCACTGGCCATGTAGTGTATGCTCGGGGGAGCAAAGAAAGTGTTCTGCCTCGGAGGAAGAAGCATTGGAAGATGCACGATGTTACTAGTTTGGAAATACGCTGTGATGATAGTAGTGGTTCCCTGGGAACATTCCCTAAGTGATAAAAACAGTCTGTGACTTGCAGAAAGGCTTTGTACGGTCAATATAAAATGATAATGCTCTCTGGACATCCAAGGTGTGGAACATCACCTCCTCATGGGAAGCATGGAACTTCAGGTAGAACGTAGGTAGAACAATGGGCTCATTAATGTGAAATTCTGAGCAGACTTTAGGCAGAAAAATGCAGTGAGGTGTAGTGTTTCCGGTCAGGGATGGAGAAGAGCACCTGCATTCTGAGAAAGGAGGCATGGACAAATCGGAAAGGGGTAAGGAGGCTGACGAGACATTCAATAAAGATAGACTTGGTTTCCCTATCTGGCCCACACTGGTGCTAAGAAGATGACTTTGGTGCTGTTCAACTCGATCTTCCTGATGACCCTAGGAATGAGAGCAGTACTGGGGGCACCTGGTATTCCAGTAAGTTGTGAAAAGATCTACCATTGGGAACCCCATGGAATATGGTTTGTATGATGCTTTCATTCATCTCCCACTCATGGTCTGTTCCGAAATGGCGGCTGAGAGCATCCACGGTTGTATTGTTGATCCCTGGGAGATATGATGCAACTAGATAGGTGTTGTTGTTGATACACCAGTTCCACAGGCATACAGCCTCCACACGTAGGGAAGGAGAGCAGACACCACCCTGACAATTGATATAGAACATGGCGGATGATGGTTGTGTATGGGATTCATCCCGCAGTGACCTAGCACATGGCGCTGTGGTTGGCACCATTTCTTCGGCACGGCGCCTGTGTGTTGAGCAGTGCTAGGAATCAGCAGGCTCCTTCAGTGCTGATGGAGGAGGCATCGGTGCCATTGGAGAGGGCACCAGTTCCAGGAGTGGCAATTGAGGTAAGGATCTGGGGGGTTTCACCGTTGCTTTCAACAACGCCAGGGTCCTGCTCAGCTCCTGTGGTGCCATCAGTGACAGAGTTTTATCTGGTTCATGGGCCTCTAGTGGCCTCAGTGCCATTGCCATTGGTGCTGGAGTTTGCAAGGTTTGCGATTTCGGTTCCATGACCGATGCGGCACAGGGATGGTTGGTACCAGATGTGCCAAGCTTATCTCCTTTGCTAGCTCTGGGAGGTAGGGAACAAGCTGGAGAGATCTTCTTTTTCATGTGCAGTTTAGGTGAAGGGGAGCCTGCCGGTTTCCTTTACTTTCTAGGGGCCTCTTGCCGAGTACTCCCTTCACCGGGTGCCTGAGGCTCCAGAGCCTTATTGAAAAGGAGCACTCTCAATCTGAGCTCCCTATCCTTTTGTGTCCTGGCTGTGACGCTGCAACAGTGCATGCATTTCTGAGGGATGTGCACCTCACCCAACCACTTAATGCAAGACCCATGGCCACCCAAAGTGGACATTGGGTCATAACACTTGTCACGTTTCTTAAAGCTTGGTGAACCAGGCATTTTTTTGAAGCAGTTTTGTTTTGTTTTTTGGTCTCGGAGTTACCTTGTTTGTGTGGGGCCTCTCTTTGCCATATGGCTTTAAGAAATTTATACTTAATTTCACATCTTCTTTTTGTTTCTGTGAAGGGTTGTTGTTAGGTCCCATTAGATGCGAAATACGTCAGCGGATTGAGGGCAAAATTATTTACATGATGAAACGAGACCTTTTTTTCCTCTCTCTCTCTTTTTTTTTTTTTTTTAAACAACTAAGCCTAAGAACAACTATAAACAACAGGAATTACTACTGCCTAAGCAACTAAAATAAGCTCTCTTGTCGATCACAGGAACACAAAGCAGAGGAGAGGGGTCAAGCTTCGTCTGCGACTGAGGGCTGTATGAAGGAACTGAGAGGAGTCAGGCCACATACGCCAACTAAAAAGGCACTAACAGCATGAGCCCCTGAAGTGCACGTGTGACCTGACCAGATATTGTTAGTCTCCGATCTACGGTGTCACGACAAGTCCAACACCAACAGTGGAGCACCCACGGGGACATCACTTGAAGAAGAGCTGCCAAACTAAAAACATCCAAAAAAAGATGAGGTAAAAGCAGATTTCTATACATTTGTCTTCCAATTGTTAGGTTATCTATGCATTTGGTTGGATTGGGCTCTATATAACGACATTCCCGTAACTATACTAGGCAGGCAGGGGAAAGATATCCACAAGACATGCTTTGACAGTGCGCATACACATGTACCAAAGAACAGCTAGGAGGCCTTAGCTTATTTTCCTCCATCTTGACCTTTAAGAACAGTATTTCACCCTTAACTAGAATCTTTTGGCTTGTTCTGCATCCTTCAAATAAAATGCATATTCTCCTACAATAAGGTGGAAATCTTTTACGCACTGTACTTTTAAAAACTAATATATTTCAATATTTGTACTTTATGAGTACGACTGCAGTGAAATTTTACTTAATTGCAAATAGCTTACTTTACTCCTAATAATTAAAATAGATTACACTAATCTGTTTTCTGGTCTTCTTTATGCAGGATCTAATTCTCATTTAGCTCAGTATGGTTAAGAATCTCCACACAGTGATACAGAAGCCCTGGCTGCTATTAATCATGGAATTAAAAGTTCACTCAGATTTAAGCCGTTATTAAAGAGCTGAGCAGCTAAAAGTACCTCCCAATATTGTGTAACCAAAAAAACCCCCACTTTTTTATAACAAATAATATATTTTAATACAGTGTTTACTGTATTATGCGGCTGTCTATGGCAGGATAGCTGCCAGCCTGGCCACCAAAGGTCACATGCGAACCCAGGAGCAGGTTTCCATGAAAATCAAGTTGGTCCGGTAAGACCCCCTAAGCTTCCTCTCCCCCTTCTTCCCCTTGCTTTCCCCTTCTAGCTCCCTCCTCCCAGGTTTCACCCTCCCCTCTCCCACGCTCTCTCTTCCCCCCTCCCTCCTCCTTTTCCCAGTCTCCCCAGAGGTTCATCTCGAAGGAGGGTTAGGGAGGGGGGGTAAGTGGAAGGGCGTGAGGGAGGAATGGGGCACAAGTCCCCGGTGGGGAGGACCAGTGTGGCTTTGAGGGCTCTGAGGGGTGGATGCTCTCCCTCAGGGCCTCCTGAATCCTGACAGCCCGACAATGGACCCCCCGGATGGCAGCCTTCAGCAAGGGCTGCTGGGCTGATGGCAACGACCCCACGAAACGCACCGGCGTGCTCAGGGGCAGCTCTGGCTCCATGTGGCCGAGTGCTATGGTGTCCCAAGTGCAGGCACTTAGGGCACTCCAAGACAGGACTGCTTTGCTGTCCCTCATCGAGGTAGAGAAGCAAGCAGGGAACCCTAAGAACTGTCTGTCAGAGGTGGGGGTAGGGTCCCTTTAAGCAAGGAGCTCAGTTAGCCTCAGGCAGCAGCCCCACACACTAAAGGCCTAATCTGATGCCCTCCTGGCATGGTTCCGGCCAGCCTTAACTTCAGTTCAGGGTCCACTCAGTGTGGACGCGCTATTTCAAAATAGGTTTTGTGTGTAGATGCGTTAATTCAAATTAGCTTAATTCGAATTAACTATTTCGAATTAAGTTAACTCGAATTAATGCTGAAGTGTAGACGTAGCCAAACTGCATCACAGTAACTGAGGCAGAATTTGATCCAAAGAAGAGATTAAGTTGTAAAATGACTATCTGGCAGGTATTTTACCTTGTGTAATGAATATCCAGATTCAAATATAATAGGTGGAAGCAAGAGAAGAAAAAACATATTTGGACGAAACATTTCTTCCTCCTGCAAAACAAAAATGCAAAGGACTTTCAAAGACCAAATACTATATATAAAAAATAAATCTAGTCCCTTCAAGTGTCTACCTAAATCGAAGCATTTTTAAGAAGCATACATACTTGGAAATACAAATAATATTTAACCTGTCTCATTTCCTGCCACTAAATAAAAGGGGATTACAAGATGGTAAACAACTTTAGGATTGCCTTTTAAATTACTTTTTTACTTGATGATTGAGACAGGACGTGTTATTTACCATGAAACATTGTTCCCAAATGTACTATGGAAAACAGACTGCTTGAAAAAAAGCAAAACGTTTCTGTATTATAGAAGCATTATAATTTTTATTGCAGGCTTTCAAAGCCTAAAAGGCAATTGGTGGAAAATGCTAACTAGACACACCTTTCACTTTTACGTCACTGACCTGAATCTAATCCAGGACAGTAATCGTCAAATACTGTTGCTATTAGATAGCTGATCATGTGAGCATGTGAAATCAGTTCACAGTCTCAGTACAGTTCCTTGCGGGCAGACATGCATTCAGTAATACTTTGCATTTCTAAAGTGAAGACCTCACATTGCTTTACAAATGGTGGGTAAACTTTACTATCCTATTCTCAACAGAGAAAACAATGAAGAAAGAGGTCAAGATCACGTAGGGCATGATCCTAAGTCCACTGCAGGCAATGAAAATATTTATTTCAACAGGTTTTAAACCAGGCTCACAGAATGCCAATGAAAAAAATTAACGGGTTTGAGTCTCATTTGTAAATGTAATTTATGTCCAGGGTAATGCTCCTTTATACCATCACAGTGATGTAAATGAGCCTTAGGCTATTTCTACACTGCAAGTTAAGGGTATGATGCCTCTGCTTCTGTACATATACTATCATTGCAATGGCCATGGCTATAAATAGCAGTGTATCCACAGTAGCATTAATAGCAGCAGCACAGGTATGGCTGAGCCATATCAAGTAGTTACCCATCACAGGAATGTACTCGGCACAGCTCATCAATGCCTCTACTGCCACTGACAGTATTACTGCAGCTCCACAGCTATTTATACTCACACTAGCTTGGTGAGAGTTAACACAAGTATGTGTACATGAGCAAGAGAATCAGATCCCTCGCTTGTTATGTAGACATATTGTTAATGTAAATGAGAAACAGATTCTTAAGTCTCCTGACTTCTTGTCCTCTACTTTAAGCTCTTGAGCCACACTGCCTTGCACAAAACCACTATCAAAAATGGCTCTTTTTTGCTAGCACACTGATCAAAGAAGCTGAATCATTTGTGCACAATCTTTGGACAAGTGTGGTTTTCTTTACATTTCCTGGTTCCCTCAAGATTTCAGGGGAATCAACTAAGAAACCTGATACCTTTATAAACAGTAACAAGGATTCTTTAACACAGGTTGAACATTAAATTCTAATATGGTTACTCCTACACTGTATCCATGCAAGGAAAGACTTCAACTGTGCCCATAGCATCACCCTGCAAAACAGAAACACTTGTACAGATTTGAATGAGGTTTTGAATAGACATGTAATGAACTGACCTTCTTAACACAGAGGATTTATATGGATTCATCAGCATATGAAACTCATCTCTTACACTGCAGTTTATTTCATGGAAATACCATTTATCAGATTTTTCCTTTATATAAAATTCAGTTTAGTAATATGTCTAATACTTGGTTTTCATTCTGATTCAATAACTGTACACTATGCTATCCACTAAACACATTCTTTATTATTACAATTTTTTAAATCTTGGTAAAAGTGAGAACACGGCAAAGGGCCAAGATCTCAATAATACTATGCATGATTCTGACCACAGCCTTTGTATAGAATCTTTAACATGAGGCCTAGCTAACAATGAACGAAACATGGCTAACGAAGCTAAGCTGTAAGCAAAGGCAGGCCCCTGCTTACAGACCTTGACATGTACAGGGTCTGAAACTAATTGGTAACAAGTCCAGGTGCAGAACAATAATTGGGATTTATCTTGAGTTGTAAACCCATGACTCATTGAAGTCCGCTTCCCAGTTCAGGAAGAGATAATGGTGAATCCTCCCCAAATACCAACCTAGGTTCAGGGAGAGGTCTGACATATCAGCATGAGTGATGATGTCCATCCTCACAGATGCCACTTTCAGTCGGGGTGGGGAACTTGATAATTGTATGCTGTTGCCAATGCTGTGTACTGCTTATTGTTCTCTTTGTCTCGAGACCATATAGGAATGTACCTACAGGCAAACCTATTGAGAGGTGCCACATGTCATTCCTAAAGACTTGGAATCGGGATTTAACCTACCTTCTTCAAGAGAAAACCCAAGGGATAACAACTGTGTATTAACAATCATGTAAATCTGAGCCATGGGCGGAACACTCATATAATCTTTTAGACTATTGGCTTATTGTGCTCATTATGTCTCGCTAATAGAACCTATCCAGGGGCTTGAGAACTCCCACCCCTTCACTTCTCTGCACCCATCAGCACCCAATATAATCAATTGTAAGCAGCTGTTTGTCAGTCTCAATGAGCCTAATAAGCAAAGTGACACACTGCTAGCTGTGAGTAATAAAAGCTTTGTGCTTGAATCTACACGATGTCAAACTTCTGTTCCTTCACACAGGAAAAGAGGAGAAAGAATTTAAGCACGAGCCAAGCAAGTGATTATGGTGACTGTTTTAACCACCACGAACCATATGAAAGTAAGCATAAGCTTCACTAATCTCTAACTCAGACTTGGCTGCAAGAAATACAGGGTATAAAAGTCTCCGAGCAAGAATGTGTCTCCTTATGTCTACACTGAATACAGTCAAAGCTCAATAAATAATAAAAGTTGCCAGATTCATTGCTGTTGAAGAACTCAACATGTCGCTGTTCCACACTAGAAATACTACTAATTTTAATGGCTTGTTACACCCTTTTAAACAAATTAAAAACATAAGAATGGCTACACTGGACCTGACCAGTGGTCCATCTAGCACATAGATGGGTCTTCCAACTATGGCCAAAGCCAGATTCTTCTGAGAGAATGACCAGAACAAGGCAATCATTGAGTGATTCATCCATGAGTCCAGTCCCAGCCACTGACAGTCAGAAGCTTAGAGATGCCCAAAGCATAAGTTTACATATCTGACTATCTTGGTTAGAGCCATTAGTGGACCTATCCTCCCTGAATTTAGCTAATTCTTTTTTGTATCCAGTTTTATTTGTGGCCTTCACAATATCCCCAGCAATAAGTTCAACAAATTGACTGTGCATTGCGTGCAAAAATACTTCCTTTCATTAGTTTTAAACATGGTTGGCCCTTGGTTCTTCTATTATGTGAATAGGCAACATTTCCTTATTCACTTTTCTCCACACCATTCATTGTTTTATAGATTTTTATCATATTTCCCCTTAATCAACTCTTTTGTAAGATGAATAGCCTCTGTATTTTAATCTCTTCTTATGGAAACGGTTTCAAACCCCTAATAATTTTTGTTGACTTTTCCCCCTTTCTAATACATCTTTTTTGAGATGGGACAACAGAACTGTATATAGTATTCAAGGTGTGGGCATACCATAGCAAATACAATGTCAGTATATTGATCTATCTTATTATCTACTCGAGGGGTCAGCAACCTTTCTGAAGTGGCATGCCAAGATTTAACCCTTCTGTCCTGAGCCGTGCAGTTCTCCTGGGAGGGAAGAAGGGGCTCTCTCCACCGTGTGCTCCATGGACCATCTGGATCAATGCAAACCTTTCTGCTGACTACCAGCTGCTAATGGAAATGCACCATTACATAATTACGCTAGGGATGTAATAGCTAGGGAGAACGGTTTAATTTAAATTATGAAACAGATTAAGCGTTTAACTTCCTCATATTAGTTTATCAAACTTCATTTTAAATAAAGTAAAATATTATGTCCAACACAAAATAATTCAATTTTTTCTTTATTTATGGCAGGGGTGGGGAACCTTTTTTGGGTTAGGGATCACTGATTCTCAGAAAAATCAGTTGGAGACCACACAAGTGAGAAGCAAAAAAACTCCTCCAAAACCCCCCAACCCTCGCTGATGTGGTCCCCAACTGAGATACCTCACTCTTCTGGCACTACAGCTCCCATAGGATGAGGGGAAGGGACAGGGAGGACTGAAGTTCAGGTTTTTTGATAGGCCAGATTTACTTTTCTCAGGTTCCAGAGTTAATGGATTTTGTGGACCCCCTTAGGCTCTGGGGAGAGAACAAAAATGAGCAGTTCAATGTGTGGGACAGGGCTGCCAGCGAGTGGGATAGGGGATGTGGGTGGGATGTAGGACGGTGTGAAGAGGGCAGGGTCTGGAAGGGGATTAAGTGGGAGGAGAGGGTATGGGGTGGGAGTACGAGAGGGAGTGTGGGAGCAGGAGGGGGTTTAGGGACGTAACGCAGAAAAGGTGAGGGTGAGAATGCAGCCAAATAGCTAGCTGGAGAGGGAGGCAAAGAAGTGGGGAGTAAAGGAAAGTGCAACTTCTGCAAAGTAAAACTGTATCCCTCTCAGATCTTCCCTCTGCTCCAGCCTCACTCCCCTCAGCCCCATGATCCCCTGAACCCCTGCAATCATCCCATGCCCTCAGGGTGACCCCTGACCCAACCAATCTGCCCCCGCACCCACCTTCACCCACCCTTCTGCCCCCAGTGCACTTACCAGCAAGGCAGCTGGGGCAAGGAGAAGTGTGTGTGTGGGGGGAGGGGCAGAATCTCTTTCCTGCCCGGGCCAGCCCTTTGCCTGCAGCTCCGGGACAGGGGCAGGCAGAGCCAGCCCAAGGCTGGCTCCAGCCTGCCCAGACCCAGCAGGGCACTGGGAAGGGGCTCCTGCCCCTGCACACAGTCTGCAGAGAGCAGCAGTGCCCCAGCACACCACATGTGACCAGCCACCCAGTTCTGCCCCCTCCCGAAGCAAAAAGCAAATAACCAGGAAGGGGAAGGGTTAACCCCTTAGCTCACGGGAGCTGCACGCCGAGGCTGGGCAAGGGCAGCTCCAAGGATGCATGTGCCTCTCGCCCCCCCCGCTGCCACCGCCGCCATCCCTAGCAGGAAGCCGGAGCAAGTGCTCCAGCCTGCAGCTGCATAGCTGAGGCTGGAGCTGCAGCACAAGCTCCTGGATGCACGGAGGGAGGCACAGGGCTGAGCTCCTGCCCTGTGACACACAGGAAATTGGATCAAATGCCATTTGTGGCACACATGCCGGAGGTTGCCGACCCCTGATTTAGCCCTTTCCTAATATTCTGTTAGCTTTTTGACTCCACTGAGCAGATGTTTTCAGTGACCTATGCACAATGACTCCAGGATCTCTTTCTTGAGTGGTAACAGCTTATTTAGATTCCATCATTGTCAACCGCGAATTTCATCTGCCATTTTATTGCCCAGTCAACCAGTTTTGTGAGATCCCTTTGTAACTCTTCATAGTCTGTTTTGGATTTAACTATCTTGAATAATTTTGTATCATCTTTCAACTTTGACAGGTCAGTTAACCCTTTTTTTCCAAATCATTTCTGAATATGTTAGACAGCGCAGTTCCCAGTTCAGATTCCTGGGTAATACCACTATTTTACTCTCTCCATTCTGAAAACTGACCAATTATTCCTACCTTTTGTGGGAGCTACTACAAAAGGCAGTAGTATTTTAGGCAGTTACTAATCCAGGGGAGGATATTCACATTTTCCCCATGATTGCTGAAGAGCAATCCAGCTCTGGGAGGAAGGGGAAGATGCAGGGATGTAGCACAAATTAGCGGATTCATGGTACTCCAAGAGGGCTGGGAGGCAAGGGGCAGAATAGGAAGTGTGGGGTCCCAGTGTGAGAGAGGTGTATGGTTAGAGGGGCAGACATGGGACCTAATGAGCCGCAGGTGCCCACCACTTATATAGAGAATCCCTGTTAATAGATTTTCCCCTAAGGGATATCTCTGTCTGAGCTATGTGACCTGTCAGCTTTCCTAAGTCCTCAGTTTAAAATTCTGCTACAACCTTTTTAATTTTACATGCCTGAAATCTGGCTCTGTTTTGGATTAGGTGGAGACCATCCTTTCTACACAGGCTCCTCTTTTCACTAAAGTTTCCCTAGTTCCTAATAAAGCTAAATCCCACCTTCCTACACCATCATCTCATCCTCACACTGAAACTCTGAAGTTCAGTCTGTCCAATAGGTGTTCCACGTGGAATCAGAAGTACTTCAGAAAATGCTATCAGGGAGCGCCTAGATTTTAATCTCTTATTTAGCAGCCTAAATTTGGCTTCTAGGTCTTTTTCCCTAACTTTTTAATGTCATACATGCATGTACCGTGATCACCAGCTCTTCCCCACACTGCACATATGTCTGTCTAGATGTCTTCAGAGTTTTGCAGCCTTTGTACCCAGTAGGCGATTCACCATGCAATTCTCTCAGACATCACAAGCCCAACAATCTATATTGCTAATGACCCCATTACTATTAGTTATTAAGAAGAGATGAGTAAAGTTCTCTCCCTGGAGGAGCATCCTCAGTGCAAAAGGATATGATGACGTCTCCTGGAAGACAGGTGGGTTCATTTCCCTCTACTCCAGTTTGATGTTCTCCTTTCCCAACACATTCATTCTCTTCAACAGCACAGAGACGGTTGAGAAGAACAAATGCTTAAAGATTAAATTATCTTAAAAAAAAACCAGCAGTAAAACATCAAATAATCAAGAGCAAAATGCTTCCTATTTGCAGACTAGCCTGCAGAGAATAAAATCCTCCTCTAACTGTAGGATTCATCTCATGGGGTGTGTATAGACTACATGGCTCCGTCAACTGAGCCATGTAGATTAGTTTACTGGACAAAGGGAAATGAAGTGGTGATTTAAATAATCGTCACTTCATTTAAATCAAAATGGCTGCAGCGCTGTGCCGATCAGCTGTTTGTCGGCACAACACGGCAGTCTAGACAGGGATCTGCCGACCCCAGAACACTTTGTCAGCAGATCCTTCATGCTTCTATAGCATTTAGCAGCAAACAATTATAGAGGTTCTCAAGAAACATGCAGTGCAAAATGTGAGCATTTTAAGGAAGGGTTTGATTTATGACTCATTGGTGCTAATCACAGTCAAATGCTAAATGTTCAAAACGAAGTCCATTTAAAAAAAATATAAACTTTGATATTAAATGCAGCTTTTTTTTCCAACTTTTTCATATAAGGGCATCTGCTCTTTTCTACCAAGGCTGGCTTGACAGTCAGATAGAAAAACTGCATTCATATAAAAACAGTATTTTATAAGAAGAGCCCCAAACTGACTGACTACAGTGACAGTACCAAGCATATTGACTCGACCTGGAGGGGAGTTCTTTAGAAAAAAGAATTGGACTTTGTTCCTTACTTAAATTGTCCCAATTCTGCAAGATACTGAACATCCTCTACTGCCATTTAATTCAATGGGAATAGAAGAGGCACCTAATAACCTAATACCGTCTCCAGAGGCATACTGGAGAAGGCATCTAATATCCAGCAGAACCAGACCCTTAACAAGGAAACACAAGTATCTGGTTGAGGTTATTTGAAAATAACCATGGGACAAATCAATAAACACACAAACAAAAAACACCCAAGCCCCAAACTTCAAAACGAAACCTATAAGAATTAATATTGCAAACAACAATAATCAACATTTTAAAAATCCCAGAGAATATATAATTAAAAATGAAATGTTTCAAATCTACCTTCCAGTTGGCCAGTTTTTGAGACTCTATAATTTTTATAAATGCTCCCATGAGGATACCTGGAGGGTGAAAGAAAGAGAGAGAGAGAATGGTCTTACTGAGACAAATAACTCTTCAGATTACTATAACTAACACTCTGTCAAGAGGATCTTAAATAGTTAATTGCAAATCTACTAACCTATTTTCTGCGTACTAAAAAATATTATTAAAAACAAAAGACAAGGACAAAATAAAGCAACACATTTTCTCATTCCTAGAACAGCATATTACAGGACTATTTCTGTCTTACTAAAGTTTGTCATATATTTCAAAATAAAACATGCTCATACTCCACTAAAGATTACCAGATAGGATATTTAAATGATGTACATAGGTTTTGAGAGGGCTTTGTTCACAACCTATAACAAAATAGATTTTGGGGAATACTCTTGTAACTAGGCAATTTTTTTGTTTATTTTTCATTTATTTCATAATTATGTGTGAACAGCAGGTTTAGTTATTCAAAAAGTCTCTTCACCTGTATGCAAATGAGTAGCTCTACTTCTCTTCTTACTGAGTCAATTATTCAAATAAAGACCAGTGAGTGAAATCCAACCTTATGTCAGCACTAGGTCTGCACAGCACTTAAGGTTATTAAACAATCAGAACAGGGCATGAGTGGAAATTGAGAATGAACAGACAATATGCACAGAGGTGAGTTTCTCCCTGTGAGCAAGAAGCTATAAGCAACAAGACTGTTAGACTACATGGACAACTATTAGTGTAAATCAGGGGCATAATTCGCAGCCTGCCCCAACCTGAATAGTTAGTGGTCACTACTGAGTAGATCTGGATCACGTGCTCCTGACTAGTTTGGTAGGTGGCTATCAAGTGCTGGCAGTTCAGCTGTCCCTCCCCTCTCTGCTGCACTTCCCCTGCCCTCTGCCTTGAAGCTGCCTCCAGGAGCCACCTGCTTGCTGTGCGGGGTGGGGGAGGTAGAGAAAGGGGCACTGGTGTAAGGGTGTACCCCTTTTTCCAGTCCCGTACCACATCTCCACAGAAAGAGGGGACTAAACAGGGCTCAGGATGAAGGTAATTTGCTGGCAGCTGCTCCTATGTATGAATGTGCTCAGCATACCATATATA